CCAGGTGAGATCTCACTGTGTTACGGCTCAGTTTCCCATGTGGAAGAAAAGTGGAACAGAAAACCAGAACATTTACATGCTTTCTGGTGGGCAACTGATTCCTTCTCTCACTTCTCCCTTATGTTTCCCATTACTCCTATCACCCACTAAGCCAACAGGCTGTGAAGGAACTCCACAAAGTTGACTATTATCTCCATCACAGAAAGAGGGCTAAGAAGATTCAGCTTCTTTTCCAGTATTCCAGAAAAGTGAAAGTAGCATTGAATTCACTTCACCTTTTTTTTTTTATTTTTTTAAAGCAAAATTTATTGTCCTGTTTCCTTTTTTGTACCTACCCAAGGCAGGTATGAGTGTAGGAGAGCATGTGGAGCCTAATGCCAAGTAGGTCACACCTACCGGATATGTCTCAGCAGCTGCCCAAGGTAATCTTGTCTGTCCCAGAGAACAAAGGCACTGGGAAGTTCAGCAGCCTCACGGAAGCACCTTTTGACTGCAGTCTTTGCAGGGATGTGTTGGCACAGACCAGGTGCTCACACTTTTTCAAGTGTCAGAATATTCTCAACTCTTTACTCCCTTAAGGAGAGGGCTGCTACAGGGCAGGGAGCAAAGAGAAGGCAGCACGGTTGGCTCCTGACTTGCCACCATTCTGCTCTCCTTTTAATAGCCATGAGGAGGTCTCTGTCAGGTCCCACAGGTTCACCGTGCTGGAAATAGGGAGAACACTGCTGGGTTAGAGGCTGCCTCTGACTTCTGGGTTCAGCACACAAAGAGTCCCAGGGACATTGGAACCGTATTAGTGAATTGGCAACCCCATAACCTACCCCTGTGAACCCAGGACATGCAATTGCCAGAAATACCAAGCTTGTGGTCCTTGAACACTTTCAAATTTAGGAGGGAAACTGCTAGAGCCTTTGTTAGTGCAGTCACCACATGTTCCTTCTACAGGAAAAGATCCCTCATGCTACTGCTCGCCAGTATTTGAGCAGACGTTGCCAAGAGTTCTGCCTTTCATGTGCCTGAGCAGGCTTCCACAGGAGGGCTGCTGTGCTTTTCCTAATCAGCATCAACCTGGTTTCAGACACAGTATGGATGATCTCCTTCAAGTCACATGCAGGGACCAGGCACCCTTATGCCCATTACAGTGACATGGTTGCACAACCTGACATGGTTGACCAGAAATTTCTCTTTCCAACGCCAGCAAGCTCCTCTCACTGCAGTTTTGTTTTGTTCTGGGTTTCCATCCTCCGTGGAGCAGTTTGCCTGTGAAGCTGACATCTCAATATGCTCCTCACCTGGTACTCCTTGTGTTCAGCACCAGCACTATGTGGCAGCAGCACACCGACCCTCAGTGGACACAGCAGCCTGTTCCTGGGCAGATGATACCACACAAACTGCACATCAGATGTGAGAAGAGCTATTGCCCAACTCTCCCTGGACTCCATTCAAAGCAACAGCTGGCCCAGACAAACTCCTGAGAAAGTCAAGCTTTCTGCCAACCAGGAAACCTCCCCAATTCATAGAAGGCATATGCTGTCAGATTGAGAGAAACCTGCTGCCACCATCCGCACTCTGCTGTGTTTTGGGTACTTATGGGAAACACCTCCCTCCCCATCTCCAGTATGAAAGGCAACAGCCAACCTCATTCAGGGTTCTGAATCCCAAGCTTGTGACCTCTAGATTCTCCCTGTGGCAGCACAAAATGGGTGATGTTTTGAGAACCCTCGAGTGTCCCAGGGCACAGCAGTCACAGGTTGGCAGCGTGTGGTCCGACAGCATCCTGGGGCTCCAATCTCCACATTGCTTCTGTGGGCTGCAACTCCGGGCAGGGTCAGCATTCACTTTCAGGGCCTCCTCTGATCTCAGCCCCTCCATCAACAAAACAACACAAAACCAAAACAAACCAACATGCTTTACATCAGAATTATTTTGCTAGGAATTTCTTAAGCGTCCGTCAACAGGGAAAGAAAAATAAAAGAAAAAAAAAAGAAAAAAAGAGGACCATGTTTCCATGCCGGGCTGTGGGTGCGTTGCTGTGCTTCCCACGCTGCTCCCAAACTTCCTACTGGCCCCGGGCCGTGCCCCACTCCTGCCAACACCCCGCCGTCGGGCACGGCCACCGGCCGCGCATCCCCACGCAGCCGCCCGTACTTACGGACGTGCGAGGGCGGCGCGGCTCCGCCGGCAGAGCCCCTGGCAGCGCCACGGCCACCGGAGATGCTCCGGGCCGCCACCGACCCGCCGCGCCCGCCCGCGCTCACCCGTGCGGGGGTCGAAGGTGACCACGAAGACGGCCACGATCTGGTCCTCCTCCGCCTCCGCCCGCGGCGGCCCCGCCGCCTCCGCCTCCTCCTCTTCCTCCTCGCAGACCCACGGCGCGGCGCTCCAGCCGCCACCGAGCCGCCGCCCGCCGACGCCGCCGGCCTCGGCCGCGGGTGGCGGCGCGGATACAGCCGGGCCCTCGGCCCAGAAGAGCAGCGGCGCCTCGTCCGCCCGCTCCACCATGGCCGCGCACAGCCCAGCCGAGCAGCGCCGGCCGCCGGCGGGAGGCGGCTACGGGGCGGGGCGCTGCGGGACGCGCCCACAGGGGACGGGAGGGGCTTATCGGCGCGGGGAGGCGGCGCTCCGTGCGGCAGGACGGGCTCTCCTCACGAAGGTCCCGATCCCTGGGGAGTGTAGGACCGCTGGGGGCTGGCGACACTGAGATGTATACGTATACGTGTACGTGTATGTATATGTGCTATGAAACGTGTTGTGGAGGAACAGGCAGAAGCAGCTGTGCATGCCCCATCCCTGGAGATGTTCAAAGCCAGGCCACGGGCAGCCTGATCCGCTGGATGGGCTTTAAGGTCCCCTCCAACCCAAGCCGATCTGTGGTTCTCTGAGTTCAGCTCAAGACAGAAACGCAGGGACACCAACACACCCAAGGCACCGGCAGCAGCCAGTCTCAGTGTAATTACCACCCTCATTATGCTACCACCATTAAGCTTAGTCCATTTCCCTGGGAGTTTCTGATTAATTGGATTACCCAATTAAGCAGGCCACAATTAAAGGGAAAGCATTGCCATAAAGGCTTTAACTGCCCAACTTTTTGCCTGCTGAGCAGCTCCGAGCGCTCAGTACTCCATTAAGGAACTCACGATGCAGTGCCACCAGCATTTCTTTTTCTGTGACATCCGTGTCCGTTCTCAGTACCAGCACAAGCACAGCAAAGTCACCTAGCAGAGCTGTGAGCGGCTGTGGGTGGTGGTTGGCAGACAGAGGTATCTGCAACAGATGATGGACAAAGAAAAAAAACAAAGAGTTCTGCACAGTGCTTTGGTGGTGTATGAAGGGTTTTAAAGAAAAGCCAAATTCTGCTTGTACCTGCACATGTTGCTCTCACCACATGGGCAGCACCAAGCTGTGCTTTGAGGATGTTTGTCTGCAAGTTGCTGATGACAGCTCGTTTCCCTCTCAGTGCAGAGTTTAAAAGCAAAGGCCCACTGCTTTTGTACTTCACCAAAATTAACAGATCTCCATCTCTAGGAATGTGGCCACGTGAGGAGGAAAAAGCTGCCTTCTGATGAAGCTCTAAGAATCATAGAATCATAGAATCCTTAGAGTTGGAAAGAACCTTTAAAGGCCATCTGGTCCAACTCCCCTGCAATGAACAGGGACACCACAGCTACATCAGGTTGCCCAGGGCCTTATTCAGCCTTGCCCTGAAGGTCTCCAGGGACAGAGCATTAATAACATCACTAGGCAACCCGTTCCAGTGTCTCACCACCCTCACCGTAAAAGACTTCTTTATATCCAACCTAAATCTCCCCACTTTGACCGTGATGCCATAGAACATGAACCAGGAACACGGTCTCTGTATCTTTGAGCAGTCCTCCAGGATAAATAAGAAGCAAAACCAGTGGATTTTAGTTAGATGTGAAATAAGCCTTCCTCACACTCATGTTGATATTCCTTCTTGGGACAATTGCTTCCCATAGCCCCTGGCAATAACAAAATGCAAAAAGGAAAAAATAAAATAAAAGGTTTGTAAAGGGCAGTGGGTACAACACTGAGCACCTGGCATGTCTTCCTCACAGCAAGTGAACGGCCTGCCACAGCCTTAGCGGGCAGCTTCAAAGACCTGAATGCCCTCAATTCTGACTACAGGCCAGGTACAAGGGCAGGCTGACCTCGGCTTGATTTGTCCCTTTGTTTTCTGGTGGGAGCCCTCCTCAGCCTGTGCACTGGGAAGCACGTGCCTATGCTAACAAATCCCCATCTCTTCTGGGCTGTGATCGCTTCCAACTTCTGCGTGACCTTTCAGCAGCTCTCCCTGATGCCAAAAGGCTTCTGTGACCTCATTCCCAGTTCATTACAGCTCATTCTGGTTCTTCTTCAAAGCGCAGGCTCACAGAGGTGGCAAGCGATGAGCTTTACACAGAGGCTTTGTCCTTTACCCACTGAGCTGTAGTGGATGACCTGCATGTGCCATTGGCATTGGCACAGCCATCCCCTCCTCTCCCAGGGCACATACATGGAACCCGTATACAAGCCTGTGTATTCCCCCTCACAAAGTCTAGCAGGTTAAAAATTAGGCTGCTAACCTCCCTGTGCTGACTGTAATACTTCCCAACCTAACACACATCTAAATGCAAGATGTTAAATTCAGACCTAAAAAAGAGGAAGTGCTGGACCCATCCCCAGCAGATCCAGCATTTATGTAAGCAAAGCCCACAGAGGCTCCATCTCCGGTGGGATTAACGCAAAGCAGCCTGGCTGTCAGCAAACATCACCTCCCCACAAAGCTGAAGGAGAGAAGAGAGTGCAGAAGCAAAGGGATGACTCAGAGCAGAGCTGGCTGCAGGCACAGCATTCAGGTCCATAGCAAAACCCCAACCAGCACCACAGGCAGCCATGCACAGGTGCTGCTGAGCTCCAGCTGCTTCCCATTAGTGATGATCCTGAGGTGTGGGGTGGTTATAAATGTGCTGGGGTGGGAGAGAGGCTAGTTGTAGGGTGACTGGTGGCTTTTTGGGGTTCTCTCTGCTTTTACAGATGTATGTAGAGGGAGGGACATTTTGTGGTTGAACAGATTAAGAGTGAGAAAGGTGAAGGGAGTGCTGCAGTGCCTTGTTCTGGGGGATCTGGTGATTTAGTCTTTGTGATGGAGCAGTGGGTGAGGTTCCCCTTGAGGCTCACTGGGAAAGGCAGTTATTTCTGTGTCTGACTTACACAAACAAAGTGAAAGCCCTATCTGTTATAGTTATGTGACAGGTAGCTGGATAGGGTTATATGTGAGGATTTGGGGATATTCCTTTATCAGTGCAATTAAATGACAGCTTTGTGTGCTCCATGCCTCTGTGCATAAAGGGCAAGGGAAATTGGCACAGGGAGCAAGCATGTTAAGTTGGTCTAGGTGAGGAAAGGGGCAGCTACACTGCCTATGTAAGTAATGCTGTCTTTCTCTCCTGCTTTTCTCCCTCTACCAGGCAGGCTAGGCTCCACTCTATCAGCTCTATTTCATATGGTGAAATGGATGACTGGGAGAACAACAATGACTTCATTCAGAGGCTGGATTTTTCTAACTGTGGAGAAGAGGGTGAAGACAGAAGCATTAACGAGGAGGACACATTGAGTTCCAGCCCAGTCAAGAGCTGTGACTTCCAGAAGTGGAACAGTCCTCTCCCTGCAACTCCTCACAGGAAGCTCAGTGAGATTTTCCTGAGCAGGACTAAATCCTGGATGAGCCCTACCCTGAAATCCTCCCCAGGTGTGAGCAGGACTCGTGGCAATGCAGAGACACCGCTGCACATCACTTGGAAGAAGCTGCAGCTCTGTGACACCCCACACACTCCCAAGGTACCAGTGTGCATTTCTGTGTCTGGGCTGGCAGGGGCTGTGGTATCACAGGGGCACTGCTGTATGTGTAATATGGGAAAACTGCTGCTAGTTCTGTGGGAAGTAGGGTTTTTTTTTTGTATAAATCCTTGTTGGCCTTCTACTCTTCCATTAGAAACTGGGCCCACAGGCTCCTTAGCTGATTATTTTGTAAGTGTGAATAGAAACCTGTGTGTGGGAGCAGGTTCCTTGGCACTTTCCAAATTGTTGTTGAAATTAATTAATTGGTACTGATTCAGCCTGTGTTAAAAAAAAAAAAATGAAAAAAAAATAGCCATTTGCCTTGGCTGTTGTCTCCCTCCTGCTCTGTGTAATGGGCCAGACACATGCAGCATTTCTGTAGGCAGTGTGCACAGTGCTCCCAGAAGGATGAATGTATCTTTGAGGTGCTAGTTACATAGGGGCAACTTGGAGGCAAGCAGCTGCCCTCACTGTCTGTTCTGTTCAGCCCATTTTTGGATACAAGTGGGTTTTCTCTTGATGAGGAAGTTGGAAATGATGCTGTTGCTGGGGTGTAATCTGTCTGGTGGACCTGGAACCTTTCCCATCAGCTTGTTGATCATTGATGCTGCTTCTATGTGCATGGAACTGAGCTGTTCAGGGGATCTGGGAAGGCAGAGCTTTGTTCACAGAGCAACAAATCAACCTGTGCTTGTGAAGGAAGATCTACCTGTCTTCCTCTGTACCACTCTCCTCATGTGTAATTTAACTACAGGTCTGGCCTCTTTAGAGAATGTTCCCAGCCCCCTATTTTCTTTGAAACTTCTTGTATGAAATAGAATACAGCTGATGCAGTCTTCTGTAAGAATGATTGTCGAATCAAAGCCACTTTGTGTTCGTAGATGTTCCTGTGTTTCTGTTGCATGCACTGGCTTCTAGCATTCAAGATTTGCAATGCCATGTAGCTCTTACAGCCCTTACAGTGCTCCTACTCTGCTGATAGTCAGATTGCTATTTGCTGAAGTAGCACACGTGATCAATTCCTTTAGTACTTCTGAGCTACAGTTTGACTCCTGACCACCTAAGGATTTTGGGTTGTCTCCCTCCATGCACCTGATTATGTGGTTAGAGGCTGGCCCTAAGACCACATGTGACTATGTGGCCATATAGACTCAGAGAACTGCTCTGCCTCTTCTAAGGGAGAAGTGACTCTAAAGGGCCTTGCTTCAACAATTTCCTACAATAGTCCTTTAAGAAATCTTCCTGAATCTCACACTAAAATAGGTGAGAGGCCTAGCATTTGCCTTCCAGACCAGATGCACTGCTGGTAATGCTGAGTGCTTTCAGTGTGTGCTCCTGCATTCAGCACCACTGTTGGCTGGATGCTTTAAGACATGCTTGTAGCATCTTAACAGCAATTGCACCAAATCAGCAGGATTTGTTTGTTTGTGTTCTGGGAGAGATACCTTTGTTTCTTGGTATACTGCAAAAGACAGGCTCTAAAGGGCCTAAATCTGCATGCAGAGGCAGCTGGCAGTGTTGATCATGGAGTGTTTGAAAGAAAAAGAGTAAGAGCAGAGCCACATCTGCACACAGAGCAGCACTGAGGCCCTAGGTAGACTGCATGGCAGAATAGGCAGATGATTGCATTTTATGAACTTACTCAGTCCTCAGAACTGCTACTGCTAATTATGGTAGCTGCCTTGTTTTACAGTGAGTGTTAGCAGCTACTCTCAGATGATGCTACTGGAGACGTGTCTGTCTGATACTGAAATAGAGCCCTAGTAGAGCAGTTGGTAACTGCATGCATGCAACAGCAGGCTGCAATGGTATTTTATATTCCCTTCTCAATTTGTGCCTAAACTAGAACATAGCCACAAGCCTACAGAGATTCAGGTTGCTGGGTAAGTAATACTTGGCCATATACTGCTTTTAATGCATCCATATGCAGACCTTTTCCAGCAAGAGCATGGGTGTATAGGTTGGACCTTGAGAAAGTGATTGGGAGGAACTTCAGGGCTACAGTAACTCAGTGGCTACAAATTGTCAATAGGGTGTTGAAATAGAGGCATGTCCCAAAAGTAACCGTATCCCTGAGTGCCACACTAGTAGATGGATGCACTCTACTGTGTAAAGCTCTTTTTTTCCCCAGTCAAACACCAGGGAAAAGGGGGAAGGAGTTCCAGTTATGATCTGGAGCCATATCTTTGCCCATGAAGCCATTCTGTAGGACCGAAACATGTCTCTTGATCTTCATGGTGGAGTGTTCTTGGTTAAAAGACTACTTTTAAGAGCATTTTATCTAGAAGGAAGAGATGTAATAAGAGCACCTTTAGAAACAAGTTAAAACCAAGTTGAATCATGAGACTTATGTCAAAAAAGCTGGTGGTTATAAAGGGGTCGCATCATTGTGAAAATCAAGTAGACCTTTCCATTCCTGGATCAAGGCTGGGTGCCTTCTTTAAGCTACGGTTTTAGACAGGGAGACTGAAACCTTAGTTGCCAGTCTTTTGCAGAAAGGTAAATTAAAATCCAGAAGTTCTGAAAGTGGAGTTTATCTTTCCAAGGAAAACAGTTTTCTGGCCACCTTGCCAGCAGCCATACCTAAATATTTCTAGTAACTTCCCCATAGTGATGCTGCTTACCACTGAGGATCTGGAAGGGAACTTGGGTGGTGCCCCATCTCACTTTCCTGACAAACCTGTCCTGACCAAACTGATGCAACAGTCCAGGCTTGATAGAACACAACTATGGTGCAATTTCTGTGGCTCTGTAGGAGGGGAAGGTGAACAGTTGGTTCCTTTTGAGCTTGCAGAAATGGCTCTGCAGCCTAGAGAGCAGCAGACAGTCTGAAAAGGTTTAGTGAATAACTCAACACTTTATGAAAGGAGAAGAAAATTTAGGCCTTGGTGTTTAGGGCTTTAGTGATTCAACTACTTTGAGAAAGGGATCAGTTTCCTTTGACTTGCAGGACAGCACTGATTTTATTCTGACTTTGTGGCAACAAAGGTATCTTGCTGGCTCATCTACTGCTCTTTCTTCCCTCAATATAGAGCCTGTTATCAAAGACAGCTTTTCCTTCACCTGGAGCAAAGGTCCCACCCAAAGGCTTCAGACATCTGGGATTTACTCCTGGTGCTGACTTGGATGACTCCACTCAAGCTTCTCTTGTCAACATTAATCCCTTTACACCAGAGTCGTACCGACAAATGCTCTTTCTTCCCAATGGCAAGCGGAAAGCCAGAGAGATGTAAGTGAACTGCTCTTAAATAACAGGTGGGAAGGAGTTAATTTCAGCAAGACTAGTAATGAAGGATACATTTTTAGTACCCAGGCTTATTTGCTAACAATGAATTACCCACTTCAGTAATATATATTCAGTGATACATGTAGACTTTCCTGAACTTCTGTTACAGAAGGAATCCTGATCTAAGAGGCCAGGTAAAACAGGAGCTAGCCACCAAGGTGAGTGCCTCTGCATAATCCCCCCTCAATATGATCATAAGATGCTTACCAAGTCTTAGTGCTTGGTGAAACTTACTCAACCATTGGGGTTTAAACTACTGTGTGACAGAGGATGGTACTTGTAATAGAATAATTCTGAGCTGAATGTCTGATGTTAAGATTTGAAATAGCAAACTTGGCAATGATTCCTCAAGGAAGCTTGTGCCAAAGCAGATCTGAAACTTATACAAGTAACTCTAAAACTCATCTGTTTTGGTCAATAGGTCATGTAATGGTTTGGGTTCCTTGGGGGGCAGGGAGTAATTACTGTATTAGTATATTGTTGAATTACTCTAAATAGTGACTGTACCTATGTGGTTTGAAGGAGCACGTGTATTGCTGTAGCTATGAATCGGTGTACTGAACGTCATTGGATGGGAATATAATGTATTTTCTACATTGCAAATAATGTATAGACCTGTACCACAGAAAAAGATCTGAATGATTCTGATGTGGATGAGTATTGAAGGCTGAACTTCAGCTGCAGTAGTTGCAATGGCAAAATCCTGAAATGAGGCAGTAAATTCTTGAATGTCCCTCAGTAGGTGGATGTCTTTTTGCTGTAGGTCTTGTTAGAAGTATCCTCTTGACTTCTCTGACTTTAGAATGTCCCAAGCAGTGTTTCATGCTAGTTATCAAACTTGGCCACCTTGCACCTCAGTAAGAAGTAAGAAAGTAAGTTTCTTTTGTAAGAAAGCTGAGGTACAGAGAAGGGACTCTGCTGTGAGACCAGCAGATCTGAGGAGAGCCTGGCTCCCACTGTGACTTAAGTGATAATATCAGTAAATGCAGAGCTACCTAGATTCATGGCCTTGTATACCTTGGTTTTTCAGACTTGACGTAGCAAGTTTTGATCAACTGAAAATTCCACTCTGACCAGTGCATGAATTTAGCTGTAATGAGGCCAGCTGTGATTAAGTGTTATTTTGGCTCTCCACTGAAGCTGTGGTGATGCTGGAAGATGAGCTTGGCATACCCTAGTTGAGTATCTCCTGGCTGATGTCCTTTGCTCTCCTTCTGTGGCTGGTCAGGAGAGATGTGGAAAAAGTATTTGGACTTCTTGCCCACCCCACCAAGGGCTTTCTTATTCAACTGGGCTGTCTGTGTATTTTGAAGACATCACTATACATTTCCTGTATCCATGGTCCAGCAGGCACAGTCTTAAAGCACGAAACCAAAATTTGCTGGAAAACCTCTGTGGCAGTGTGTGCTGGCTCTCCAAATGGGGCAGCAAGGAGCAAGATTGAGTGTGCCCTTGGCCAGCTGGCAGAGCTGGGTCCTGCTATCCTTACTTCTCCACTTCTCATCCTTGCTGGCTTCTGGAAAGGAAGTCAAGTGCAAATCAGATCTGTATTCAGGTGAGGTAAAAATCTCAGTTTTCCTGAGCAGCACTTTTAACCAGGTATTTCTTGTATGTTTTGTTCACTGTAACTGAAATACCTAGGCTCACTTGAAGAATAATGATACCCTCTAGTCGAGAAAACTGGTATTGCAGAAAACCCATAGCAGGTGTAATAATACACAGCTGTAGCTTCTCAAGCATGTGGCATTTGGGACTGGTTCTTTGGAAGAAAGTCTCAATTTTGTCTTACTGAAACATTATTCCTGCATTCATTTCAACCATAACTGAAACAAAATTGTTACTAGAAGCTATTTTTATTTCCTGAGCTAATATTTAGCTGTCTTACAAAATTTGGCCTGTTGTGAAGAGCTGCTGTTTCACGTGGGCCGCATCTTTCTGACTGGGGGACCAAATCCTTCCTTTAAGGTCATATTGCAGTCTAGCAGGAATCACAGCAGTGGTTTTTGTGGAAAGTCATGTGCAACAGGAATCCTTGTCCCTGTAAGGGATGTAGAGGGATAAAGGGAAATCACGTAGTCCAGTCTCTTGTTCTCTTCATGCACCGCTATTTTTTTTTCTTTCTCTCTCCTGCTGGTAGACATCACTCTACAAGCAGTACCAGCACCTTCTATTTCTCTGATGACCGTTACTGTAACAACAATGTTCCAGCTGCTCTGCAGGCTTTTATCCCTTGGTACACATGTGGCTCTTGGTGAGGAAATAGCCGGGAATACAAACACTTAGACCTGCTGAAGTACAGTTAGTCAACAGCTGTTGCTTCAGAGGCAATGAGATCCTCAGCTGGTGCACAATGTGCTTGCTGTAGGTGACTGACTGCCAGCATAAAGCAGGTTTTATGTAGCTGGGGTAGCATCAATTTCTCCTTAGCTCCAAATAGTCAATAGCTCTCATTTAAACTCAAGCTGAGAACGTGAGTGATGGATACAGAAGTGCTGGACTTCCACGTATCAAGTCTGGTAACAAGTCTTCTCAAGTCTGCAGTAGCTGAGCAGAAGGCAAATACTCTTTCTGCAGTTCTTCCTTGTTTTACTTCATTTGTTGTGGGTGCAGGAACCGGACTGAGCTGCCAAGAGAAGGGATATGATGGTAGTAATGCAAGCCACATACAGCCAACTAAACTGTTTCTTTAGTCCTTAGCTGCATTTTCTAACCCTGTGATTAGAATAAATAAATCTTGACTGAGCTGGACGAAGGCAGCCTTTGTTAAGTGCCCAGAAGATTACAAAAATCTTGAAGTGGAAGATACCAGTTGAAAGTCTGCATGCATGTGGAGAGAGTTCAGGATGGGAAAGGGAGTAGAATGGGTCTTGTGTTTGGATGAATGATTCACAGCTCTAAAAATGTGATGTGTATCTGAGTCTTTCAACTCATACTGCTGTCTCTGCTGTACTTGTGACCTTCTAGAGGTGTCCTCTGAAAGACAGCAATATGGTTTCCCGCTACCAGAAGGAATTCCTGGAACTGGAAAGGATTGGTGTAGGGGAATTTGGTTCTGTCTACAAATGCATCAAGCGCCTTGACGGATGTGTTTATGCCATCAAACGCTCCAAGAGGCCTCTGGCAGGATCCTCAGATGAGTGAGTGTGCTAGCTGAAATGATGGATGTGTTCTTGGGAGGTGTGATCGGGAAGGAGGGAGTGTGAATATAAAGGTATCTGAAGAGTGGTGGGAGCAAAAACTGGCTGCTGTTTAAATAAGAGGTGGGAGGGTGAAGAAAGATACCATTTTAGGGCAAATAAATACAAATGTCTAAGAGAGGAGAAGCCACATGTACTATAAAGTGATATGGCAGCTTACCCAGAATCCTCATACCCCATGCAGCCAGTCTGTCTTTAAAACAACTATTAAACTATTTACTTGTGGTACTGGCCTTCCACACAACCTATTTGCATCCATATTGACCACCTAGTGTTATTCTGCATGCTGATGTGTCGAAGCAATGTCTTTGAAAGTACCTTTTCCACTTTAATAGAAGACTTGTTCAGTGGTGCCTGCATTGGCAGCTGCTTGACAAGCTTGAGGTATTCCTGAATATCCATTTTTAAGGCTTTGCTTCAACAGCTGTGAGTCAGTCCATCTGCCAAAATCTGAGTCCAAAACATCCCTGCTTTCCCTTTCCCGAGTCAGGCTGCAAATCAAACTCATTGTATGGTCCCACACAGTACCCTGACATCCTGTCACCAATGCTTTTTCTGTGCATGCTTCTCTAGGCAGCTGGCATTGCGTGAGGTTTATGCTCATGCGGTCCTTGGACACCACCCCCATGTTGTGCGCTACTACTCAGCATGGGCAGAAGATGATCACATGATTATACAAAATGAACACTGTAATGGTAAGGGCTGGAGTGTTTCAAAGGCTGAGATGTTGGGTGGGTGCAGCTGAGATGAATGTATCTTATGTTAACATCTTGGGTAGGCGAAAGGGCTCAACAGCCTTAGGGGAATGGAATTAAGTAATGGGTTGAACTGTTTACTCATGCTGCAGGCAGGGTAGAACACTCACCTGGATTTGCTCTGGACACATTTGGTTAGGAAATGCTGGGGAATATGCTTCTGGCTATCAGAGGAGCTGTGAATGCTGGTGTGTTGTTCTCCTTGCTCAAATGCTACCTCAAGCTGGGAGCTATGATGAGTGGTGATGGCTGTGTAGAGTAGTAATTGCAAATCTGGTGCAGGTACCAGTTAAACATGGGTGCAGATGTTTTCTAGTGGCTGAAAAGCTGAGACTGAAGGAGAAGTGGTGAAAATAAAGATGATGGGAGAGAGGCAATTATATTTTTCTAGTCCTACAAAAAGGCCAATCAACATTGAGAGCCACAACTTATCTGCCTTGTTGTCAAATGTTGCATTCTTTAATCACATCTGCTGCTGGGAGCTTAATTTCCTTGCTCTGAACACAGTGTTCCATGAGGTCTTCGAATCTCAGATTGACTGTTTTCTTCTAGGTGGGAGTCTCCAAGATGTGCTTCTGGAAAATGCAAAGCATGGTCAGTATTTCCCTGAAACAAAGCTGAAAGAAATTTTGTTACAAGTCTCCATGGGACTAAAATACATCCACAACTCTGGCCTTGTGCACTTGGATATCAAACCTAGTAAGTGCAGCATTCTTCCTCTATCCTCTGAGAACTGCCCTTTCCACACTCTGACTCTCCTGGTAGACTTACAGTGCTTTAAAGGGAAGAGGATTTTACCCTAGAAAGTGAATGTGCTGTGTGGATTCTGAAACTTTCTGCTGCTGCTGTAAATCTGAACCTTCTGCAGCAGTTGGTATCATTTGACTTGTCTTGTGATCTTATTCACGGGAATAGTTTCCACTACTGGAGGAGCTATTAGGGCTGCTAAAGGAGGAAGACTTCCTTATTTGCTATTGTTTTGTTGTACAATGCTTGATCTTTGTGAGAAACTGGAGTGAGAAGTGAATATTTGTTCTGTACCTACCCCAAGGGATTATATTTCTGCAAAAATAGTAAAAACAACAACAAAAAAATCTACTTTGTGCAGCTGAGCATGGGCATATTCATGGCAGGGTTCCCTCTGCAGTCATGTGGTTAGATCCTCATAGTGGATGCTCTGTCCTGCTGAAACGTTCCTAGCAGGGGAAGCAGAGCGAGGGGCAGAGAAGGTGACTACAATGGGTAATTTTATATGTAAGATGTAACAGTTTTCTGTTTCTGATTGGGCAGGAAGCATATTCGTAATTTGATCTGCAAAGCATGTGTAGTTTTACAGGTGGGTTTACCACAGGATTGTCTGGCTGTTCTACTGATAGCTGCTAAACTTCACTTGTCTTGCAGGTAATATCTTTATCTGTCACAAGCTGGCAGTTGAGGGCCAAGCTGGGCAGGAAGAGAGTGACAGTGATGATGAGTTCTCTTCTGGTGTGATGTATAAGATTGGTAGGTTTTAGCTCACATTGCAACTACCTTACTTCTAAGGTTGCACTTCTGCTTGATGGTGCTCTGTCCTGGTTGCTGAAGGGATTTCTATACAGTACTGACATTTAGCATCATTTAAAATCATCCTAAATAACTCTTGTACTCACCAGAATTAATTCCTCTAAAGTGACAAGCTTGTTTTCCGTGCCCGCATTTCTGTTTAAAAGCAGGCTTCTGGTTCTTTTGCTGCTTCTGGTAGTTCTGTTGGTACCTTCTGGAAAGTAGAATTTTATTGATCTACTTCAGTTTGTTCTTAGTCATTCTTTTTTGCTTGCTTGCTTTTTAGGTGATCTTGGCCACGTGACATCAATAGCAAACCCTCAAGTGGAGGAGGGAGACAGACGGTTTTTAGCCAATGAAATTTTGCAGGAGGTAACAGTTGCTGATGGGGTGGTTTGGTGAACAAGGGTAGTGAGCAAGTAGAGAGAGATCAACAGTAATTAAGGCAAGGAACATGCCAGAATAATGACTTATCTCCTTTTTTCCTGCATCAGGTCTGGCTGTGAAATTGGTAGTTAACTTAATTGGAGAAAAATAATGTTGTCCTAACATAATTTACATTGCTCTAACATGCTTCAGAAGCAAGTTGAGATTATTGCAACTATTTTTAGCTTCTAGGGATAAGTTGGACAAACTTTTACAGTCCATTTCATGTTACATATCCAGTTGATATGAATCTGCTGGGTGTAACTACTGATGAATGCTTGCACCTGCAGAAATGCTTTGCATACCAAACACTGATCAGGCAGTGTGGAGAGGTGGAAGGCACTGCTGGGGGAATTATGCCTTCTTCTGAAAGATACATTAGTTCTGCCACTGTGGCCTGTGAACAAAAAGGAAATCCGTTTGTAATAACCAGTTTAGATATGTTGATGAGCTCAAGTATTCAAGACACAGGAGGACAAACATAACTTAGGGGTGGTAAAGGCTGTATTGTGTACTTGTTCAGTTGCTGCTTTTTGAGCTGCTATCCCAACACACCTCTGTTCAATATAATGTTCTCTGTATAAATGTTCCTCTTATCTCTGCAGCAATACTTCCATTTGCCAAAGGCAGACATCTTTGCCCTGGCGCTCACAGTAGCTCTGGCAGCAGGTGCAGGACCATTGCCTCACAATGGGGCCATGTGGCACCACATCCGCAAGGGCAATATCCCATTGATCCCTCAGAAGCTTCCCAATGGCTTTATTGAACTCCTGAAGGTGAGGCAGCAGCCTTAACAGGAAGGGGGCTTTTCCAGGTGGCATGTGACAGGAAGAGTTGTAAACCCTGACTTTTGCCTTCTAGCTCATGATCCATCCTGACCCAATGGAAAGACCCTCTGCCACAGCTCTTACTAAGCACCCAATCCTCCGTCCTTCACTTGGAAAAGCTGTGCAGCTCCAGAAGCAGCTAAATGTGGAGAAGTGTAAGACTGCCATGCTGGAAAGGTAGGGCTTCTGTGAAGCCACTGGGGCTAGTTGAGCAAGTGCTGATGACCAGGCTTGAATGCAGGGAGGTCCACCAGCAGAAATACCCACCAACACTGCCTGGATCTACAGGGTGGCAGGGCTGTAGGTAGACATTCATAGTGCCAATGCAGCTGTAGTTCATCTCTGGCTTTTGGATTCTGGCTAAATTAGAGCAGTGAACTTGCACATCTACTGCAGTCATGGATGATGGCCCATGCTGGTACAATATGCAGGCAGATTAACTGATACTGAGCTGAAATAGTGGTTCAGCATGGAAGGGAAAGGGAAAGGAAAGAGAACTACCAGGTGGTTGCAGGCACCCTCTTCCCATGCTCTCTCACTGCTGCTGGCAGTGATGTTTTGAGATACTAGGATAGTTGCACCTTCCCTCTTGTTGCGGTATTCAGCAGCGGAATGGGTTTACAGAGTAGGAAGAAGAACACATGCTCTGGGAGAGCAGCAAGAATCAGGGTAGGAAGGCAATGGAGAAGAAACATACCTTTATTAGGTATCTGCTGCATGGAATGGCACTGACTTCAACTCAGTCCCACCAATAACAATATCTGAAGCAATGTGGAGAAGACCTACCTAGCGGCACTTCATAACAGTGCTGGTCTGGGTGCTTTTTGCTGACCTCACGTGCTGACTGCGTAAGTGATCAGTCGATCCAGTCTGCAGGGGTAGTCATAAAGAACTTCTAACTTTCCAAATCAATGCTGGCAAAGTGCTAACTCTCCGATGCACGGCTGTTCACAGCCTCTGACAGTTGACGGGCATTCATGCATGGTATAGCTTACTTCCCTTCTCTTCCATCTCTTCCCTTGCAGGGAACTAAAAGCAGCTCGCCTTGCCCAGACCCTCATGAAGGACCAGCCCTTAGGAAATGCCAACTTACAGAAGTCTGAGACCTCTCCAAAGAAGAACAACAAGCGCCTTGTGGGAGGAAAGAGTTGTCGCTCATTTAGCTTTACTGTGGGTTACTGAACTTCTGTTATTTGAAAGGCTCTTGCTGCTGAATGACACTGAGAGCACAGGCTCTGCACAGACCAATGCCCCATGCTAGCTCTGCTTGTAAATTTTATTTGTTCCCTCATTAACTATGGTGAGATACTGGCTGAGGAAAGGGAAGAATTATTAGCTTTCAAGCATAAGATGCGATTTAAGAATATTTTCCTCAGTATTGATGTTTTCTTGTGTAACTGGTCTTGTTCTAGAGTAAGGATAGTTCATCCACAGAAAGAAAAGGATGGCATTTCCTCTAATTTCCTCTACTTCCCTTTGCTTAGATGGACACTGATCTTTATGTTTTTACTGCTGATCTCTTGTACGTCTTTAGAAGGAAGACAGCATGTCCTGCTGGTCCTTAGCACTGAGGCAGTTGAAACAATGGTATTATGTTAACTATGTTTGGAGGCAGACCTGTTACACAGCAATCCTGGTGGACTTGGAATGCATTTGGAGTGGTATTTCATTGAGGGAGCAAAGAGTAGACTGCTTTTAGTTAAGGGGGCCCCACTGATTGAGCTGAAGTCGTCCCCCCCCCCCCTTATCTTTGAGCAATGAGTCAATCACAGCTGAAGTGGCTGAGCTTTTGCAGACCAGACCCTGAAGCCTGGCCTGTGCAGATAGGAAAGGACTTGGCATCAAGTGGGGGTTGTACCTCCAGTATGCAGGTAGGTGGCTCTGCATGCCTATGGGAAATGGAAACTTCTGGGATCTTGCTCATGGAGCAGCTCCACCTTCCTGAAGAATCGGCTTTTAAGCAATGGTGAGGGAAGCTAGAAAACATTTAAGCTTTGGTAGTTTTTTTTTTTTTTTCCCCAGAGTTGTCTATTTAAAGTGAATATTTTTTTAAGACAATCTCATCCCTCTGCTGAATGTCATGTTCTGGATACTCGTTGGTTGTGTGTGTCTAGCAGAAAGCCAGATACACATGGTGCACTGCTACGACGGAGAGCATAATGCTTCTGCCTTGGTCACTGTGAGTTTTACTCGAGTAGAGTTTGTGCTCAAGTGTTTGAGAGTACTGTTTTTAAATTATTAAATCTTATCCCTTTAAAAGCAAAAGGTGCCAATAAAGATTTTAACACTTGCTTTTACTGTACTTTGTTTTCTGTGCCTTCCTTCCCTTTCTTTCGCCCCCCACTCCCCCAGGAGCGCTGGTACAGCCCCTACCTTCCCCGGCACGCCTTCCCTGACCATCCCCGCCGTCACCTACCCGGGCAGAGTCGTGTTTCCGCCGGACCCGCTGTACGAAACGCAGCCTCTCCTTTCCGCTTCCGGGCGGGCTCGTGTGGCCGCTGGGCTGGAGCGGCTCAGCCTGGGCTTCTCACTGCGCGGCGGCGGCATGTGGCGGCGGCCGGCCTGGCGGGTAGGGCGGGCGGGACGGGGCGGAGTGGGGTGGCGGCTCCCGGGGCTCTCGCTCGCTCCCGGGTCCTGCTGGGAGGAGGCGGGGTTCCCAAGTGCGCGCTGCAGAAGTGCGGTGGTTACGGCGTGTCCCCCCGAAATGATTGCTGTAGATAAACCTTTCTCCTTGGTAGCTGTTTAACCTAGTAGTCTATGAGTAATCCGCTTGGCTACGTTTATCGTAGGTTCACAGGATGGCTTAGGCTGGAGGGGACCTCAAAGCCCACCCAGCCCCATCCCCCTGCCGTGTGCAGGGCTGCCACCCAGCAGCTCAGGCTGCCCGTGGCCCCATCCAACCTGGCCTTGAGCCCCTCTAGGGATGGGGCACCACAGCCTGTGTCTCACGTTGAGTGGAATTGAACTCACACAGTGCTCTTGCAAGTTGCTGGAAGGGAATGTCGCTGCAAAATTGGCACTCAGAAAATGAACAGTAAAAGCGCATGGTGTGAGTGGTGCTCATGCTTTGCGTCCTGGAAACTAACTTCTGTCTGTTCTTCAGGTGTTCCGCCAGTTGGTGAGGCATGAGTCTGGTGATACAGGTGGCTCATTGGTACTGGAACGATGTAAGTAGCTCCTGTGTGTGCCCGAGATGATGCTTAGCTGTTACTCTTTGTGTTCTCATCCTGGTTTTAGAATGGCTGAAGCGTTCCAGGGAAGGAACAGATATGAATGATAGCTGCTGACTGCAGAAACTGAGAATGCTATTTCAAACAAACTCTTCAGGAGCTTCATGTCTTGGTCTGTGTCACATCAAGCAGCCCTTAAAGGGGAAAGCCAGGAAGCCCTGACAAGGTGTACAGCCTGAAGCAGGAAGGTGGTCTTGCTTTATCAGTGGCAGTGAATCAAGCATCCTCGTATGTTTTTTCTTAGCTGCCTCTAGCAGTGCTGTGCTCCTGTTGCTCAGACTTCCATGTACTTGGGATGTATGTTTGGGTGCTGCTATTACTGCACTAGGTGTATGTTTGACTCCACCATTCAGTTCATGTGCTTCTAGAGTAATAGTTCTCCTCCACCTCTTCCAGCTTTCCTTCATCAAGAATAAATTGTCTGTTTGTTGCTGATATGTCTGTTAAAATTAGCAGCCTCAAATCAGAGGATGTGATGTAATAATGGAATGTTGTTTTGAAGGCGTTGTTTTAATTATAAAATAGGACAATGAACTATTATAGTTTTATAGCTTAAAAGTCAAAGTGTTTTTAAATAAATGCTAAATAGTCTCATATGGCATATAGACGTTTCCTTCCAGTGGTTTGAAAGAAGCTTATAAGGAGGAGGACTGGCTTTTCACATGGTCAGGTAGTGATAGGGTAAGGGGGAATGGCTGTAAACTAAAAGAGAGGAAACTTAGGTTAGATGTTAGGAAGAAATTCTTTACTCAAAGTGGTGAGGCAGTGGCACAGCTGCACAGAGTACCCCATTCCCGGAGGCACTCAAGGCCAGGTTGGATGGGGCCCTGGGCAACCTGAGCTGGTGGGGGGGGAAGGAGGGGGGGCGAGTAGCCCTGCCCGCAGCAGGGAGATGTATCTGAGTGGGCTTTGAGGTCCCTTAAAACTAAGCTGTTACGTGGAAAAAGATGACAAAAGACCAGGAGAAAATAAAGAACCTTCAGCTTTCTAAATGAAGTTACTTAGCAGTGATAACTGTAATAGAGCAGTAACTGCTGTGGGGCCTGATTAGCCCAGTTAAAAACTGGAGAATGGTCAGAAGGTGTGGGAGGTAACTTTTCTGGCCCTTGATAAAAGCTGCTGATTGATTTAAGACTTGCTGCAATCAGAAGGATCATAATTCAGCTGTACAAACCTCTTTGGATTCCTTATTCTCCTCCTACCACTGAAGTGGATAAAATTACTGATTCTGTATTGGTTTGCCCCACACTGCTTAGCGCATCTCACCTTGCGTTTACTGCCTTATGTTTCAGCCATGAATCGTGTTCAGTTACTGGGTCGGGTTGGACAGGACCCTATCATGAGGCAAGTGGATGGAAAAAATCCTGTTACCATATTTTCTCTTGCAACCAATGAGATGTGGCGGACAGGGGAAAATGAAGTAACACAGACAGGTGAGTCTGCAACAAAGGTTGAGCAGGTTGCTGCTGCTGTGCTCTGAAATTTGTACTTTCAGTAGCACTTCGCTTTGTCTTTGGGCTGCTCTGTACGTCTCTCAGGTGCAGGGAAGATCCTTTGAGGTAATTTGTACATCCCTACCTAAATCCTCAACAGCATGTACCAAATTTTTTTGATTCTCCTCTGCAGAAGCAGAGAGTGCTGGCTTAGCAATTTTTTTCTTGTTGGGCTTGTCAGAAGTATAGCAGTTCCATACTCTTACTTGTATCCCATGAGGGGAAAAAAGAATGAGTACATCTTCTTTGATTCTTCCATCAGTCTTTATTTACAGTTGTCTCCTTTTCTCTAGCTTTTGTACAATCTGGAGTCTGTAAGGAGAGGAAAGGGAGGGAAGTCTTATAAGCATTTTTTTTTCCAAGAAAACCAATATCTTGGTTTGAACTGTGCTCTTGTACAATACTAATGCTTGGACACAAATGGGTAGAACACTGAATACTACATAGTATACTTCCATTTCTTAAATCTTAATTTGAGAACGCCAATGTGTTAAAGCTCATTTCTGAATCTTACTTCAGTAAGAGGATGTGGCATCCAGCTTTGTTATTTTTATGTACCTTAGGTGATATCAGTCAGAAGACGACATGGCACAGGATCTCTGTCTTCAGACCAGGCCTCAGGGATGTTACGTATCAATATGTGAAGAAGGGGTAAGTGAATGTAGTTGAGGACTTAATGCTTTAGTAATCAGTTGATGTAAGAATTCATAGAATCATGGTAACGTTTAGGTTGGAAATGATCAATAAGGTTATCAAGTCCATCCACCATGTAACACTACCAAGTCTACCACTAAACCATATTTTTAAGTGCCATATCCACAAGTCTCTTAAATAAGTCCAGGGGTAGAGACTCTACCACCACCTTGGGCAGGCTATCCAATGCCTAAGCCCTGTTTCTATGAATAAATTTGTACCAGTGTCTTATCTAAATCTTCCAAGTGCAACTTGAGGCCATTTCCTTATCTTGTGTCACTTGTTATCTGACAAAAGAGACTGAAACACAGTTTGCTACAGCCTCCTTTCAGGTAGCTTTAGAGTGATGAAGTCTCCCCTCAGTCTCCTATTCTCCAGGCTAATCAGCCATGATTTATTCAGCTGTTCCTCATAATTGTTGTTTTCTAACTCATTTACCAGCACTACTGCTCTTCTCTGCACCCACTTGAGCAACTCAATATCTTTCTTGTAGTGAGGGATCCCAAACTGAGCACATACTCAAGGTGCAGTCTTACCAGTGCTGAGTTCAGAAGGGCAGTCACTTCCCTTGTCCCACTGACCATGCTATTTCTGATGCAAGTCAGGATTCTGTTTGACCACTTTTGGTGACTGGGAGCTGTACTAAGATAGAAGTGCCTTAAGTAACTTTGTAAACGTGCTACATACAAGTGAGGAAAAAGCCTGTGGATTCAGAATCAAATAAAAAGGAGGAAATGGATGCAGTTCTCTGACTGGAACCAAATTCTTGACTTTTCAGTTCTCGGCTCTATGTTGAAGGGAAACTGGACTACGGTGAATATACAGATAAAAACAACGTGAGGCGGCAGGCGACAACAATTATTGCAGGTAGGGAACAACACCCTGTTCTGCTTTGCCTCTTTAAATGGAAAGGGGGTGGAGAACCTTAGAAATTGAGCTTGGCTTGGCTTTGTCCTCAGAATCCGTGGTTGAGGATTCTGAGAGAATGAAGAGGCTTTTTGCAGTTTCTGGACTGTACCACTAGATGTCCCCTGGCACTGCATGTGAAGGGACAGAAAATGAGAGCAATAGTTGCAGGCTATTGCATAGTTTGCTTACACAATCCAATTAGTGGTGCAGGCAGATTTATGTGTTTTAAGGATATTGGCATGAAGTACTGCAAGTCAGCTAGGTTCTTTTTCTAGCCAAAGTAGAGTTTTAATAGCTCTCTCTCAGGTTTGGTAAGGAATTATTTATTTTAAGTTTGGAGGCTTCACCAACTTTAAGGATCTCTGTGAAAGATATTTGATGGGTAGGAACTACAGTTGTCCCTTGGATAGAAGCAGTGGAGAATTGGGGAACTGAACCTCTTCTTGAGCCTTAAAATAGCCTGAGGGTAGCCAAGGGTATTTGGGTACTGCATCTTTTCTATGGGTGGAGCTACTGTCTTGTGGCTTTTGAAGGAGGGCTGAAATAACCCAGTTGATGAGAAATAATGCATGTTTCTGCAGTGCAGCCTCCTTAAAACAATAGCAATCAAATTTTTACATGAGCAGTTCCAGCTAGCAGTGCTACAGGTTGGTGCTTATAAAT